CCCCTGGAAACTGTTACTTTACCCCTCACAATTCCCTGCAACCTTAACAAACTGAAGTTCCCAGGATTTGGGGAGGAGAGCTATGGCTGTTAAAGTGGTACAAGAGTTATTTAAATGTGTGGGTGTGGATGCAGTCTGAATTGGGGAAAAGCCATGCATTTAAGTTAAAGTTGTTTGAGGGCCACTGCTTAGTGACAGAACACATGTTTTGCCTGCTAAATGAACCAGCTCCCTGGCATCTCCAGTTTAAAAAGAAGATTCAAATCACTGAGGTGTGTGAAAGCTTCCTACCCAAGAGGGAGGCTGCAGCCAGTCACAATAGATGGACAAAGAGACTGAGCTGGTATAAAGCAATTTCTGATGTTCCTATCACCTTTTGTTTGGGATGAGATATAACATATATAATGTTCCAAGCTCAAGGATTTTGCCACTTTATAAGCAGCGGGAAATATATTCAGATCACTTAAGGCGAAACGCCGCACTAGAGTGCTGCTTAATTGCACTGAATTCTTAACTCCCACCGTTTATAACGTCACATTGAACTGAGCTGCACACCAGTATTATGGACCGAGGTCAAAGCCCAATGGCATACATGAGGCGTTTTGCCTTCATTATTAAAATGTTTTAGTGTCTTCCCGTAATCTTAATTCATGTCACTAAATGGCATTTCCCAGTATGCTGAAAAGGCCACCATTGTAAGTGATGAGGATGCTGTAATTCCAAAATCTCCCACTGTAAGGTGCAGCGACATGAAAACAAACAAGAAACAACAACAACAAGCCAAGTTGTGCTCAACCAATTTTCATTCTTTCCATCATCTTTTGATTTAAAAGCAGGGCACTTAGAGGCCCAGAGTGAAGTTGTTTTGCTGTGGCAAATGTACTTCCCATTTTTATACCTTACTGAGCAAACTTTACTCTTTCATTTCCATGTTTTCAGCCAATTGTGAAGCAGTCAAAGGCTGTTCCCTCGCATGATTTTTAAACACTGCAAAGCAAGTTGGTAAACCCAGCACAGACATTGGCTCATTGGGTAACCTTGATTAACAGTACAAGGCTAATCATGTCTACTCAGAAGTCAATCCTGTCAAACTCAGTGGGGTTTACACCCAGGTAAAATGGGTTAGGACTACAGCCTAAGTCACTGTCACTCAGTCTCAGTGCCCTGCAAATTGCAAAAATGAAATAAATTTCATCTCTCAGAATGTAGATGGAAGCACTTCCAGTTGACAAATCCTACTGTGAGAGCAAGCAAATTGAAGTGTTTTGTAATACATATATATTTGCGAATTCTACCAGAGTTAATGAAGTTGTGGTATATGTACAAAATGGTCATAAAAAGGGGTTTTAATCCTATGCACATTTACTTGGGAGGAATCCCTATTGAAAACAGTGGGAATTACTTCTGTGTAAACATACATAGAATTATACTCCAAGGCGATTATTGATTTGGCTGTAAAAGGATATGTAACAAATTTGAGTTTGCTTGACAAGACCATTGGGTAGACTCAAACACATATCTTTCTTCCCTCTCAGGTAGAGTATACTTTGGTGTCTAGTCCCCAGATAATAACTAGAAAGAACCAAGTAGTCCAAAAACAGCGTTTTGAATGCGTTATGAACATGCAATACCAGATGGTACTGTAGAGCAGGAAATTTTTCTATCCGATTTTACATAGCGCTTTTTTTTTCTTTTGTAAATTAAATCATTATATTTCTGACTCATTTATAGCCGTTTTTTTCCCTGTGTGTAGATCCACCCCAGGCAAGGAGCACACATATCATCAATTTCGGACAGAACCATCAATGGCCTGAGAGATGTTTGGTCCAGCTGTTCCTCATCTTCCTAAGTACCATGTGTCTTGAAGGCAGGCAGGAGCCCAGGCCAGAGATCACACATATCACTGGCTCCCAATTGACCTGATGGTACTCTACCACACTTGGTTACCTTAGCAAGGTATATAAATCAAAGTACTGTAGATAAAGCAATCAATAAATCAATGTGGCTCATCCAGTGGGGCGGAATCACAGCAATAGCCTATTAGCACCAGTGTTCTCCAACATTTTTCCCCACTGAGATTCCCTCTCAGAGGTTTACCCATGCAGGGCCTATGAATGTCAAGTCAAATTCCTGAATTCCAACGTGGAATTTGAACAAAATGGTTTAGAAGGACATCACTGCTGATGAGTGCATGGTGTCCCTCCCCAGCACTGAGTGCCATCCCAATAGGCAATGTCTGACAGCTCAAACCACTTCTGAAGCAGAGCAGAACACAGAGGGCTCTGAGAATGTATCAGAGACAGGGACGAATACACTTTTCTGCTGTGCTCAGTGATCACCAAGATGGGGCAATGCATCCTTTAAGCACCCGTTCATGCAAATAATCTGGAGGATAGGTACAACTCTAAAGAGCCAGCAGGAGGCTCACATATTTCATGCCAGTCATCAGAATGACTTCCTTAAAATTGATTTGTGGCTTTCCTTTCATGCTTGGCATCATTTATTGCTAAAATTAATTACGCATGGATAAAATGATTTATAGCATTAAAAAATCCTTCAGTAGGATACACAGAGAAGAACCATGGTGGAACAATTTGAGCATCTCCTGAGAACCACTTCAGATGTGGGTTTTCCTGCACTCAGTTTGAAAATGCATGCACACACGACCAATTAAAATTAAAAACATTCATGTTTTTCACATACATCACCATTAAACATCAGGTTCTCAGTGGATATTTATCATATGTAAAAGGATATAATAAACCGTATTTATTCCTTGTTTCTTAACTGATATATATATATGCGCACGCACACATACACATATTTTGTTAAAGCAGTGAATGTCACTTCTGTCATACAAAGGGCAAAATTGCTGCTAACCACTCCTGCTAGCGCAGGTCTCCCTTAAGGGAAAAGTTCAGTGTTACAGCATCTACTTGCCCAGCTTCTCTAGGTAGGGCTGTGAATGTTCCCTGCCTGAAATGCTGGAGAACAGGTGGCTGTCAGCCAGTGTAGACAAAACTGAGCTAGATGAACCAATGGTTTCACTCTGTATAAGGCAGATTCTGTGTACTGGCAGCATGCCTTGCTAACTGACTCTGTTTGCTGACATGCAGTCAAACATACTGCCTTCTCAACAAGGCTTATTGTACTTCAAGTTTATGAATCCTGGCACTGTAGGACAAACTACATGGAGAGAAAAATCATGTGGTGTAGTCTTGCTGGGATTTCAGATATGAGGCTTAAAGCTTTGAAGGCTCCCCTCTGTAGGTATAAATAACTAAGTCCATTGGTGTCTATGGGACTACTCCGAAAAGGACTAAGTTGGCTATCAGCCAATATATAATTTAACTTCCATGTAATTCTTTTAATATCATGCATACCCTGCCTTTCACTGCATTAGCAGCTCACAAAAAGGACAATAAAATTATAAACAACTTGCTCTCTTCCCAACTATTCAAGCTGGAAAGTTTGAAAGGAAGAGAAAGGAAAAAATGGCATTAACATCTTTGGACATCTACCATGTAGGAACATGATGTAAGATAGCATGAGGTATCAAGAAAATAGCCTTCTTCCTCTGGTGGAGGTGATGGGGTAATTTTCCATTAATGCTTACAGTTGAAATATCCATGCCTGGCCCTTCAGAAATGTAATTTAATATCCCATTATCTATACCTCATTTGATGTTTCTCTCCATGCACCAGGGACTAAGCATGCAATCTGGAGTAGCTGTAGCTATTAGCATATTTACTAAAAAATACCCCCCCCAAAAAAAAGCTTCAGCAGGAAGTAGAAAAGGAGGGAGCATAAAAGTTACTGTCAGAGACTGTGCAAACAAATTCAAGAGGAAATTTGAGTTGGTTGTGGAAGTTCTGATGATTCTGTAACACTGATGATGTCACAAAACTGCGCTGTTGCACAGTGGCGTAGCGTGGGGGGTGCCAGGGGTGCCGGCCACACCGGGCGCAACATCGGGGGGGGGCACGAGTCCAGAGGGAAGGGACAAGCAATCGAGGCTTGTTTGGGGTGGCGGGTCGTCGTCTCCGTTTGGCCGGCCCCCCTCAAGGAAGCGGGAACCTCTCCAAGGCGCAGCGCGCCGTCGGTGGAGGGAAAAGAGCCGCACAGCAGCAGCAGCAAAGCCGGGAGGAGGAGGAGGTGGAGGCGCCGCCTGCCGCAGGATCCGATCCGAGCCTGCTAATCACTTGCTGGGAATTAAGCGGCTCAAAGAGGCAAAGGAAGAGGTGGAGCCGCTGGCCCGGCCGGGAGGAAGCTGGAGAGAGCAGCGCGCCTGGGCACGGCGAGGTTGGGTAGGTGCGCCCTGGCTGGCTACCCGCCTCCCGGGCTCAGTGCCTCCATGACCCCTCCAGCGGCGATGGGAAAGATCGGGGGGGGGTCTGGAGCAGACCTGGCTGGCCTGCTCCTGCTTCTCCCCCGCCTCCTTCCCGTTGCCGGCGCCTTGATCTCATCTGGATCAGGGACGAAACACGCCCATCCTTCGCTACTCCTTGTCGGGTCACTGCTTCATTTCTCCAGGGAGAGAGAGAGGAGAGGAGAGGTGCCGGGGATTGCCAAGCGCGCGTGACGCAAAGGGCCTGCCCACGCGCAGGCTGAGCTCCGCGTGGCGGGGGCGGAGGGAGGCGCTCTGCACATGCTTAGGAGGCGCTCGCTCTTTCCGAAGAAGGACCCGGCTACTGGATCAAGGCCACAAGGGCCCATCTAGAGTGGCCAAGCAGACGCGTCAATGAGAAGCACTCAAAGCAGAACCGGGGCACAAGAGCGCTCTCCCTTCCTGCTGTTTCCAGGGGGTGGAAGCGTCGCTGCCTCGAGCAGTGGCGTAGCGTGGGGGGTGCAGGGGGGGGCGGACACACCGGCCGCAACATCTGGGGGTTAGGGTTAGGGGGCGCAAATCCACGGGTTAGGGGGCGCAAATTACTTGCCTTGCCCCGGGTGCTGACAACCCACGCTACGCCACTGCTGTTGCATCATTTAGCCACCTGCCATGCTAATGATGGCTGTAGGCTGGGCTTAAGGTTGTCAACTTTTGCTTTCCAAAAGGAGTAAGGCAAAGCTAGACAACCATAATTGAGTCTGGTAAGTCAAAGTCTAGCCCAGAGCAGAACCAGGTATCTTGGGGTTGTAAGGTCAGGGTGGAGCTAGGGTAGAATTTTTCAGGTTATGGCATACCCTTCAATATTTCACAGGCTTTGGATTGTACCTAACATAATGCTGTAAGGTGAATGTTGTGTCAACACAAGAATTTCTCCTGGTACAATGGAACGTTCTCCCAATCTCCTCCTCCCATGCACCCCTTAAATCAATTGGGGGGGGGTTCCACCAACATCTGAGAGCAGTTATAGGGATGGCACAGGGCATGCACAGGGGAGGAGATGGAGAAACTCTCCTTGCACTAGCACTAATCCTTGCATCAGCACAAGTATTTAGATGATGACAGCCCAACGGACTTTACATATCCTTGAAGCACCCCAATTCTCATATCCTGGGATGGTCCACTTACAATCACACAGTTTCATATTACTGAGAGCCCCACCCCCAGCCAACCTACTTTACACTGCATTTGTTTTAAAGCTAGAAGCATGTTTCTTCTTTTTATTAAATACCTCCTAGGAAACCACATTGTCTTGCAACAGGCTAGCTGCTGTTCAAAATATACCTCTAGAACTGCCAGTTGTGAAAAGACCGGCTGTGCACTGCAAGGTGCCTTAGCATTCACACCTACGTGCTCTAGAGACGAAATACTTCCCACTGCAAGATGAAACGTCTACAGGCTCTTGGAAAGAAGAGCTGAACCCTGAAGAACAACCATTCCAGCAACAAGCTTTTTTTCTGACAAGGTGCAAAAACAGGCACAGTGATTTGCCAGGTACCTAGCATCTCCTGTTGGAAAACAAGTATCGTAACATCTCCAGGTAGAGAAAACCCCTTTCTGAAGTCTCTGTCAGTATTGACACCAATAAGCTTGACGGCCGATGCTCTGATATCGAATAAGGCCACTTCCTACGTTCCTTTATTGATAACTCTACCAGGAGCCAGTGGCTGGAATACTTCCTCCAGACCCCTAAAAATGAAGGCAATATGCTAGTATTTTACTTCTGCTAGCCGCATGAACTGCCAGTGTCCCACCAAGAAATCCCACTGACAGTGGAGAATCACATATTGAACTAAGAAAGGGCAGCCAAGATGAGGCGAAGGAACATTTTGTGTGCACAGTAATGCTCTGGGTAATCATGTCTCCCAGATGGATATGTATATCCAGTGTAGACGTAAAAGTTAATAAAAGAACCTGTGAGAGAGAAAACTTGATAAGCAGCTTTAAATTAGATTTTAAAAAATGCAGCGTTCAAACAGTAAGTGACATTTTGTCAAGGAGCCAATTTGTCAGTGTCTTCCATATTATTTTTGTATCATAATCCAGCAGCGTGTCTTTTGCAGTTCCCTCTTATTTCTCGTGTCCATGAATAAAAGATGTCCTTTGCTACTAATACAAGATGACTTTTGGCCACCCACCATGACACAAGTCCCTACAGGGAATGGGTTTCTTTCCACATTGTTGAACTCTTTATATGCTATGAAGAGAATTTTTGTGGTGCTGGCTTATCTTCCGGGGGAGGGGGGGATCCCAGTGTTGAAATTAAGAAGTCTAAGGCTACAACCTTAAATGCGCTGGCTTGGAAGCAAATCACACTGAAATCAATGTGGCTGATTTCCACATTTTACAGGTCAGAAACTGTTGCTGCAGGTGCTCATAATATGCAGAGCAGCCTGCAATCCAAGCACAGGGCTAAACTGCTGTTGGCATCCATCTGCCTCAGGAGACAATGGAATAATGTGCCTTTCAGGGGTAAAGTCAAGCCAATAGAGAGGTACAGCACCTGCTGTGGCTGTAGAGACTACAAGGAGGTGCATGCTCATAGGTGCTGACTGTGTAGGGCCCTGGGTGCCTGAGCACCCAAAAAAATTAAATGAAGGGGCCGGATCCCCCCAAGGCTTCACTCGGCGGTGCACGCACACACCCACGATGTGTACAACTGACATCAGCACGCTGTGGGGGTGCCGACACCACGCCTGCATGCAGCAATGACATTGGCATGCCCTGGGCACCCACTGTCACGGGTCCAAGACGGTGTGCCTATGCATGCTTGTAATTGCTAGAGTTGTGTGCAATCCCCCGAATTCAGGGACTGATCTAGCACAACCCCAGTCTGACTAGGATTGCACAGTCATGCAGTTGGGGGGGTGAAAGATGTGCGCGACTGCTTGCACATCTCCTTCTCCACCCATTATATGCCACCAGACATACACACACACCTTTCAGCAGCCCCAAATCACTTTGGGTAGACCCACTCTGACCCCAGGAAATCCTGGGGCTATTTCAACATGATCCAGCAGACTCCTAGGATGACTGAAATAGGTCCAATTCCATTCAGGATTCGGGCACAGCCCTAAGAATTAAAGTGGTACCTTGGTTATCAAACTTAATCCATTCTGGGAGTCCATTCAACTCCCGGAACCATTTGAAAACCGAGACGCGGCTTCCTATTGGCTGCAGGAACTTCCTGCACTCAATCGGAAGCCACGTCGGACATTTGACTTTCGAAAAACGTTCGCAAACCAAAACGCTTACTTCCAGGTTTGCTGCATTCGGCAGCCGATTTGTTCGGGAGCCAAGCCGTTTGACAACCAAGGTACTACTGTACTTTATTTAAAGCAATTTGCATCCCACCTTTTCTTGGCAGAGTTCAAGGTGGCTTAACAAAAATTCGTATCTTATAAAAGCACAGCACAATTTTTCAAAAGTGGAGAGAAAAACGGCTAATTTCATTAACAGAGCTTCCAGCACTTTTAAAATGATTAAAGTAAATTCCACCACTCCGTTTAAGGAAATCAGTCACACCAAACTCTGTAACTGGGCAGTCCTATATATGTCTACTCTGACATGTCCCACAGAGCTCAACAGGGCTAACTCCCAAGAACACAAGTATAGGATAGCTTTGCAGCCTAAATTAATGCTTTTACAAGGAGGGAGGAAGTTGCAGGTCTTCAGTAACTCCCAACCCCCCACTTCAAAATGGCCGACAGCATGAACCACTGAATTTTTTGTATTGCAAAACATTTTTGCTGGAACATAAAAACAAACAAACAGGGCTGAACATTTGGCATACTCTGTTAAAGGACAAGATAATGCACCAGTTAACTAGAACATGGCAGACTCCCTGATTCCTTTTCTTATTTATTCCGAAACTGCTAAAACAATATACTGGATCTCATGAAAATAGGTGTCTCCTTTTGTATATTAACTATGTGCTTGGTGGAGCAAGGTTACTGGCATTTCTTCTGCACAGAGTGAGGAAAAGAGAAATTTGGCTAATTTTCTTTGGCTAATGGAGTTCACTTCTCTTAGGTGTACGATTAAGGCTGCAAACTGTACTTTTGGATGCTTTATTAATTTCCTGTTAGAGCACCTGCAACCTGAAAAGTTTACCAGAAAAAAATCCAGCTGCACATGAAGTACACTCTCCTTTTTGTGATCATTTCTATGCTAAAAAAATAATTAATTTCTTTGATTGTGTGCCCTATGCAATGGACTTGAGAAGTTCATTGAATTTGGTGGAATGCAAACCTACATAGCATTAAGCAGTAATTTAACAAAAGGGGCACCTGAATTAGCAAGCGCTTTGAAGAGACAATATGCAAATGAGATAATTCATTACTCTACAGTAGCACAGCTTTGTATTCTTTATCCTTGATACATTGAACTGATAAAATCTGTCATCTTCATAGCTGTTACTAATTTATTTATTTCCGGAAACACTGAGCCGCAATTACAGATGCCATCTTCATTGCTGGTACTAATGGCCCCATATCAAGTAATATGCAGAGCTACTTAAATTATAAGGCTATTATTCCCTTTTTTTTATTGTCACCAATACCAAGTACTGTATACTAAAGTACGGTATTAAGCAAAATAAAAAGTAAATTAGGAAAAAAGAGAGCACAGTTCTTCAAGACATCAAAAAGAGAACAACACAAAGGAAAGGACGCATTGAAAGAAAGCAATTCATGAAGACCATTTTTAAGTAGCACAACCCACCTCCTACAAGACGCTTGAAAGAAATATGGAATGAAGTCTGCGAGGCCATTTGTAGAATATTATAATCCACAAGTAGGACATGCAGCAAAATGATATAGCTAGGAAAGCTCCTGTTTAGAATATTCTGTTCCATTCTCCATCCCCAACAGTCAAGTCAGCTTTCTGGGGCCACTGAACACACTGTGGCTTGGGCTATTGCCCTGTTTTGGATATGTGTGTGTGTGTGTCCCGCCCTGGTACACCTACTGTTCCTCCCCCCTCCCCAAGATGTTTTGTCCTTCTGCAAACCTTGGGATGCTCCTGAGCAAAAGGATGCCTCCTTCTTGTGGGTAGATAGTGCCAGTTTCACAATATAATATGGTGCTTGATGAATTCAGATCACTATTTGTATATATGATAATGGATATTTCATCCTAAGTCCTTTTGGCCCTTGCATTTGTCTGATATCTGAACATGAACTTCCCCAAGCATCAGAGCTTTAGTATAAAAAAAAATTAACAATCTGAATGGCAACAGCAGAAAGGGGAGAAATTTGGTTCTGTTTGGATTTCAGTATCAATCTACTTAATTCTCACTTCCTGAAACAATGCAAGAATTGAAAAACAGCTACCCTCTGCACTTTTCTGAATTTTGCAATGTAATTCTCCAACATTTTTTTATTTTAATAAAGTTTGCAACAAAAATGATAAACCACGTGATTGTAAAAAAAACCAACCAACCAACCAACCAACCTCTAAGCAGTTTCAATATATATATAGTAAAAGATGACAATTCTTGATTTAAAAAGCAGTTTAAAAGTTAAGAAAAAATTAAAATGCATGCCAACTTCTACTTGACTAGATAGACTTGCCTAAAGAAATACATTTTAAGCAGGTACCAGAAAGAGCTCACCGGAGGCAGCTGTCTGGTGGCAACACGCACTGAGGAGGAATCTAGACACATATAAAAAATGATGTGAAAATACTACTTTTTAAAAAAGTTTTGAAAAATATATTGAATTTGCCATAGCTCACCATCATCATCTAGTGTCACATTTGTATAATGCACTTTTCAACACACTTTAAACGTTTTATTTGCAGCTGTATAGCTGGGTCCTGAGTTCCAAAGTATAGGTGCTGCTACATTAAAAGATTGATTTCTTGTAATGTGCAATGTGACTGAAGTGGTTGTGTGGGCATATATGGGGAGGGTCGAGGGTCCCTATAGATTCATGTCAGAGTTGTTGCTGATAACCTCAAGGGAAATTATCTTCCCCGCTCCCCAGCTTCCACCAGTAGGAAACTCCACTGGATCGGAGCCTCTTCTGCAAACAGAAGTAAGCCTTCCATTCACAGAGGGCCAATAGCATAGATCTATTATAAAAAGTACCGTAGCAGATGCACTCAGCTTCACAATAAACATAATTTGCAGTTCTTATGCTGAAGCACTTTTACAGTTCACATGTCTCCACCAAGTTACAGGTATTGTTGTTCAGGCAGTATCTTAATACCTAATCTTGTTGGCATCCGAATACTCCGAGATATTGAAAACTCAATAGAAATAAATTGGACTCCAAGACCCATTTTCCAGGTTACATTTCACCCTCTAAATAGAGTTAACTCATTTCCTTGGAAGACTGAAAAGCACAAGCTTCATTTTTATGTACATTTCTGCATGCTGATGATTTTTCCAATAGCAGTACCAAAATCAGCACACAACTCAGAATATAATTAACTCAGTTCTTTTGATTTAAGTGGAAATTAGAGTGACTTTCCATTTGTCTCTTCCTTTTAACGTATGGCGCTGCTTTGACCTCTCTTGTTATGACGGGTGCCAAACCAAGCAAACATGGGCAAAATATTTATTTAGTGTGCAGTTAATAGAGCTGCATAGGGATTTACTGAGGAAATTGGCTAGCGGAGCATAACAGGCTCAAGAAGGAATGAATTATTAGTAGATGATACACTTTGTTCCCTGTTCAAATCATTCAGGTCTGAAGTTTATGAAGTTTGTAAATAAAGATTGGAAGTGGACTAAAGCTGCCTGAATTAAATATTTAAAGTAGAATTAAATTAGAAATTTAACCCACCCTATCCCTGAGGGCTCTAAGTAAATGTTTTACGGTTGGTTTTGTCAAGTATGCAAAATGTC